AGCTTTCCAAGCCCTTAAAAATGCCCTGGTCTCAGCTCCAGCCCTGGCCTTGCTGGATATTGAAAAACCTTTCCACGTTTATGTGGATAAAAGATGAGGCATCACCCGGGGGGAGTCCTAACCCAAAAGCTCGGCCCATGGAACAGGTCGGTCGCCTACCTGTCAAAAAACTGGACCTGGTAGCCTCGGGCTGGCCGCCCTGCCTGTGGGTTATAGCAGCCATTGCCATGTTAGTAAAGGACTCAGACAAACTAACATTGGAGCAGAATCTGACTGTCACGGCCACACATGCAGTGGAGTCTTTACTCCAAGGGACCCCTGACAAATGGATGTTGAACACCTGAATAACTCATTATTAAGTGCTGCTTTTAGATCAGCCCTGCATCAAGTTCCAGCATATTCCCAGCTTGAACCCCACAACCTTACTACCAGAAGAAAGTCCCACGGGGCCACCTCATTGTTGTTATGAAACAACTGAGTTCCAGAAACTGCGCTGGGACCTAACCGATGTCCTGAGAACAAACCCCGACCTAACGCTTTTCTCAGGTGGCAGCAGTTTCATCCAGAATGGGGTAAGATATGCAGGGGCAGCGATGGTCAGTCTATGGAGAACTATTTGGGCTGAGCCGCTTCTGCAGGGAATATCAGCCCAAAAAGCAGAACTGATTGCCCTGAGGCCCTAAAAGCAGGTGAAGGAAAAGTTGTCAACATCTACACTGACAGCAGGTATGCGTTTGCAACTGCACACATTCATGGGATAATTTACAGGGAGCGGGGATTGCTCACCGCAGAGGGGAAAACTAGAAAAAATAAAATGGAGGTCTTAGACCTCCTGGCAGCAATATGGGCCCCCAAACAAGTCGCCATCATCCATTGCCCGGGCCACCAAAAAGGAAACTCAAAAGAGGCAATAAAAAATAAAAAAGCAGATTAAGTAGCCAGAGAAACTGCTTACGGCAGAACCACCTGCCTGCTGGTGCTGACTCCTCTGGTTCTATGTGAGCCACCAAAATATACAGAAGAGGACCTCCTCGCTGCACAAAAATTGCAGACAACCTCAAACCCAGATGGATAACTTCAACTTCAGGAGGGCAGAACCTTCCTCCCTTGAGTCCTGGGACAACAAATCCTAAGGCAGCTCCACGGAGGTACTCATTTGGGAGGATAAAACTAACTGAACTGTGCCGGGCTCGGTGGCTCAGCCTGTAATCCTGCACCTTTGGGAGGTTGAGGTGAGTGGATTGCCTGAGCCCGCGGGTTCAAGACCCACCTGGGCAGCAAGACCTCATCTCTACAATAAATCAAAAAATCAGCCGGGCGTGGTAGCACATGCCTGTAATTCCGGCTACTCGGAAGGCTGAGGTGGAAGGATCGCCGGAGACCAACAGGTCGAGGCTGCGGTGGCTGGGAGCAGCCACTGCACTCCAGTCTGGGCGACAAAGTGAGACTCCAACTCAAAAAAAAAAAAAAAAAACTAACTGAACTTGTGAGAAAACAATTCTATCTCCCTCATCTGAACCAGCTCGCCCAGGAGCTCATTCAAGGCTGCATGTCATGCCAGCAGACTAATCATGCTAAGGTCAGTGTATCCACCCAATGGGTCTGAGATAGGGGACTAACCCCCGGGAGACATTGGGAAATAGACTTTACAGAAGTCAAACCTGGGCAATATGGATATAAATACCTACTGGTCTTGGTAGACACCTTCTTGGGATGGGTCGAGGCATTTCCTACAAAAACTGAAACCGCTTCTGTAACAGTAAAAAGCTCTTAAATGACATCATACCAAGATATGGTCTACCTATCTCAATAGGCTCAGATAATGACCCAGCATTTATTTCTAAACTTACTGAAAGTATTGCAAAAACCTGGGGGATAAATTGGAACTTACATTGTGCTTATCATCCCCAGAGCTCAGGACAGGTAGAAAGAATGAATCAGACGCTTAAAGAGACCTTAACCAAATTAACCCTGGAGACCGGCAAAGGTTGGGTAACACTCCTTCCCTATGGCCTCTTAAGGGCCAGGTGTACCCCCTACATCAAGGGTCTAACCCCCTTTGAAATTCTGTTCAGATGGCTCCTGCCATTACTTCCAAAAATTGGACTGGAAAAAGCACTAGAACTGTCTAACCATTATTTGCTTCAGTCACTGCAGGCTCTTCAAAGAGTTCAGCAAGTTGTCACTGAGACTGTGCAGGCAGCCTTCCAGAAACCGGTTCCGGAACATCCACACCCATTCCAGCCCGGTGACCAGGTCTGGATAAAATGGCACAAAGTTGAGGCTCTCACCCCAAGGTGGAAAGGGCCCCACATAGTGATCCTTACTACTCCTACGGCCGTCAAAGTCAGCGGTGTCTGCCCCTAGATTCGTCATTCACAAGTAAAGGCAGCCACCACCACGGCCTGGAAACATGGAAAGTCGTCAAACCAGCTACTGGAGAAGATCCTCTAAAGATAAGACTTTTGTGGGCCCTGGTATCTTAATCATATTCCTTGCATACTTTCCCCAGCTTGAGGCCTATTGGCCTAACTCGTGTAATCCCTATACTCCAGGGAACTATTCCTGGGAACTGAGAAATACCGTCACTGGGACCGTAATTGCCACCTACAAAGGAAGCGGGCAGCCTGTCCTTAATTTTAACCTTTGTAAATTATGGCCAGGTCTAACCCTCAGGGGCACACATACTGATGAATGCGGCACACTAGCTTATGAGAAAGGGCTTAAATCTGTTGGTTTTTATACTTGCCCATTGCCACAAAGCAGGACAATACCACTGTGCTGCATGGGGGTGTGAAACTATTGCTCCTTGAAAAAACTGAGACTCATACATAAGCCTCCTTGTTTATGTTAAAAATAGTGTGTCATCAGTAAAATTAATAGTCCTCAAAACTCAATATAATCCCCTGTATAAAAAGTCAATGATTTGACTCCAGGAACAACTGAAAGGGGAGGAATGTGGAAGGGGGCTTAAAAAGACATCTACAATGTCAAAAATTAGGCTAAGCATGTACTCAACCTTTGCACAGTTTAAAAAAAAAAGTTCCCCTCTTGGAAACTGGCACCTGCTGACTAGGTTAAACTGTTTAACAGCTTTTTTTCACTTCTGTGAACCCCGCTAGCATTGCTTGAAAGGTACCTAGGCCTCCAGGATGTTGTGGTTTGGCCCACTTGGAAAGTCCCAATGTGGTTTTCCCCCATTTAAGTAAGCTCCTATAGCTATATGGGTGCCCCTTGCTGTGGGACTGTTATGTCCAGCAGGCAAGTGGCCGCTGGCCGGACTCTTGGCTAATAAAAACCTCACCTTTTTATAACTTATACTTTTGATGTTGGTGTCTGTGAATTAAGCACTGGGTCCCTATTTCAGTACTAAATAAAAAGATCTAATTCTAAGAGGTATCTTAATTTTGAGGTAATGATGTAAATAAATTTTGAGGAGCTTGCAACAACAATAACAAAAAGATGGTTTCATTAGCACATCTGAAAAACAAAGTTGGTAAAAAGGGGGGAGAATAATTCAACCAGTTAATTTTTTTCCCCATGATGTGAAGCTCCAGAATTAAAAAGCAGGTACAAGATACATCTTGTCATTAAGGCTGAAGATTTGCAAGATGGCTTCCAGCCCAATGCTTTTAGCATGTTTATGCAAAGTTGACTGTGCCAGCAGAATTACTGTCAAGCAGAGCTTGGACCTCTCTGGCTGTACCCTGTGGTCATCTGGCAACGCAGTGGAAAGGGGTAGGAGGAACCTAATGATGTCTGGTTTCCAAGGCAAACTAAGGTGGGAGGGGGAATGAGAAACTGATTCAAAGGGAAAGAAAGCACTGAGACACCAGAGGGCTTGACATGCTCATCCTCCTGTTCCCAACCCATCAGAAAATGTGATGTGGCCAGAAGAGTATGGGGAGTCTTGGAACAGACCTAGAAAGGCATTTCCCCCAAAACTTTTTCTTTGACGGTCCCCTCCATCAGATGTCTATCTCCCAGGATTGATATCTGACAAGTGGTAACAAATGGCCATAGAACGATCAGGATAATTGCCCATCATAATACTAGAATAGAGTCCTAGAGTCCTGGAGGTCTGCTGTGGTAGACATTACTTGGATTGTGGGGAGGTTCTAGGGGTAGGATTGAGGGAGTGGCTCTTGAACAACTGGCATTAGAGGATGTTCAACTACTCTGCTGACAACCTAAAAAACTATCCCATTCAAAGATAGGACAGAGAGAGAAAGAGTAGAACTTCTTAAGGCTATATGAATTTAACATCAGGCATGGTTGATGACTGTACTCATGGGACATCTTGATGATTTCACAGGTAGAAATTTCTTCTTTTGGCAGAAGACAAGGGCCAAAAATTATTTTAGAGCATTTAGACTCTATAAAGTCACCTAACTACAAAAACAGGGCTACATTTGGGGTTAAAATCCTGATCCCTAACTTTCGTCATCTAGGAAGAAACAAAAAAAGGCAAGAAACCTGAGATTGGGTCTAAAGGGTATTAGCCTGAGCAACCAGCTACCCCAGGTCTAAACAGTGAAGCATGCCTGTCAGGTAGGGGCTTTCTCCTTGGGTTGAATGCTACCTACCCCCACCCCCCACCCCTGCCAGAATGCTCCTTCAACAGACTCATTCATCAGTTCACACTTAGCTCAATTCCTCTTCCAATGAAGAGAAAGCCTCTAAACAGAGGAGGAAATTGGATAAGCTAGAACCTGAGGCATAGCCTTTACTAGGAAGGAAAAAAAATTCTTGGGCTATGCATGGGTCCTGAGCAACAAGCAAGGAGGTGAACCATTTTAACAACCACCATTAATTTTTTATTAAGTTTCTAATCAAATATGACAAAATTTTTTTCTCTTTCATAAAAAACAATTTAAATATTTACAACATTATCTGGGAAAAGACAAACAAAGAGAGAAAAAAATGAAGAAAAGGAATAAAAAGACAAATTCAAGCACAGACTAAATACAGCCTATTAATATGCCTGCCTGTGGCTACTGCTACAATGCCAGGCCCTTAGCCTCATGATCAGACTTCATAATCTTCTCCAGCTTCAACATGCCCAAGGGGGGGATTTTGGTGACTTCAAAGAAAGCCCTGCAAAAGGAAGGGGGGGTCTGCTCAGTGTAGATAGGCCCAAACCACACAGGCTCTATGGAACATGTGGGTCACAGGGCCCTTGGTTCCCTATCTTGCTTTAACTTTAGAATAGAAAGGAAGGTGAAAAGTATCTGAATTCTTTTCTCTTAAGTGAGTCTAGTCTGGGCCTCATGTTTATCATCCCATCCCATCCCATGCATCCTTCCCTCCTTCCCTCCCTCCCTCCCCCCCCATCCCATGGCATCCTTCAGAGACAGGATCTTGCTCAGTCCTCCAGGCTGGAGTACAGTGGTGTGATCACAGTTCATTGCATCCTCAAACTTCTGGGTTCAAACAATCTTCCTGCCTCAGCCTGGGACTATAGGCTACTATGCCTGGATAGTTTTTTAAATAATATTTTTGTAGAGACAGGGTCTCACTCTGTTGCCCAGGCTGGTCTCAAACTCCTGGCCTCAAGGGATCCTCCTGTCTCAGCCTCCCAAAGTGCTGGGACCCACCAAGCCTGGCCTGGGCCTAGTGTTTTAAAGTTTCCCCATGAGTGAGCACAGACCCAACCTCAGCCAAGATTTGGTACTTACTGGTGAGAATACTTGGAATATACCGTCTTGAGCCTATCACAAGACTTGAAAGTCAGCAGCACATTCAGACGCCTGACCAATGGGTGAAGCTCAGAGGTCTTGTAGCCACTGTAATATTCCAGGGTAGGAGCCTGAAAAGAAGTAGGATGAACAGTGACTTCTACTACAGGAAGCAGACCCTTCTTTCATCTCTGCTATTCCAAGTCCAAGTTTCCCATCCATGGTTTAGACAGGGATGATATTCACAACATTTCAAAGACTCATATAGTATAAACACTGACCAATGATTATAGGATACTCTCTAGAAGAATAGATTCCAGCCACAAACTACTTGGATGGCTATCTGTATGTACCAGTTAGATATCAGTCCTAGTCACAGGTGTTCATATAAGCTGAAATCCACCAAAGTCCTAAGGAACAGAACTGATTTTGTAACTTACTCTCGGGTCCAGAGCCAATGGCCAGGCAAATCCCAGAACAAACTTCAGAACACAGCTCAACAGCCAACAAAGAACTAAAGGCAGATCCTGCTCTCTGGGTCTAACAGTTATCATTCCACAAGTTTATTTTCTTACTCAACTAAGAATGCCGAGTATGTGGCAGAAACAGTAAAGCAATGTTTCAAAACAAAGGTCCTAGAGACAAACTACTTCAGTTCAAATTCCAGTTCCACTAACAGCATGGCCCTGAGTCAGCTATTTAAACTCTTGGGGTCTCAGTTTCCCAATTTGTCCAATGGGGATCATTACAGTAATTTCATCATAGGATTAAATGACTGTGTATGTGTACATATAACATAGAACAGAATGTAGCACATAGTAATACCCAAACAATATAGCTAGGAGCTAGGAGATGCTGGGAGAATAACATGATGCAGCACCTGCCCTTGAGAGGTCTGTAGTTTAGTGGAGGAAACAGACATGCAAACAGATTTACAAAATGTGTGCTAAGTGCTATGATGGAGGTGAGCATAGGATACAAGAGGACAGAGCAGTAGGACCCATGAACTCTGACCAGAAGTGTCACAACAAGTTTCACAGAGGAGGGCACTTCTGCAGTGAATGGTGAAAGTCAAGTAGGGGCTCAACAGGCTGCTACTTGAAAGAAAGAGGATTTATTCGGTAAGTCAGTCATTTCCTTAAGATGTCTTAAATTGTGCTCCTTGAACTCCTTTTTTTTCTAAGTGTCTTACCTGGAAGCTGAAATACCTGCAAGTGGGGGTGGGGGCTAAGAAGTCCACCAATCTAGATCCCTTTACCTTTTACATGGCCTCGAAGACACTTCTGCAGGAAACCCTAGGCTCCTTTGAATACTGTTTGGAAACTACTACCACAGGCAAAGGATAGATATTGGCATGCTGAGCAGAGGAGTGACACAAGGGAATAACAGAGTTTATTGGGTGTGTTCAATAACATTAAATGGCCCCACCATCTTGGTGTCCATTCCAGCCCTCAATACTTCACCTTGACAGTTATAATAGCCTACTCACTGGTGTTCCAACTTTTATATGCTCTCTCCTCTAATATATCTTCTATATTGCTATACCAATATTGTTTTCAAAGCGCACAAACAGAAGCATGTCACTTTCCTGTCTAAAAAATCTTCAGTGTCTTAGTATAAAGTGGTTATCTCAGTGTGGCATACAATGTCTCTCACAATCTGACCATGATCTATCATTCTGGTCTCATCTCTCATTAGCATGATTAACATCTCTCCTATTCACACATCCTCTGCTCTATCTATAGGAAATGTTTTGTTTTTCCCCCAAATATTTCACACTCTTAGTGTCTTCACATCTTTTTAATGTAATGCTCCCTCTACCTAGAATGTCTCCTCTTATAAGTTCCTACTCATCTTTCAAGACTCAGCTCAAAAGTCGCCTCTTCTGTGAAGCCTTCATTATCTACAGGAGAAACAGTATATTTAACATAGAGGACTGTGCAACCGGTCTACCTGAGTTCAGATTAGGGCTGACACTTCGTTGATATGCACTGGTTTACCCACCAAGTGTTAAGACACTGAAATATTTATATCCTAGTTGGCACAGTCTGCTGCCCTGAAACCCTCAATTGTGCTCCTCAAGACCCGCTAGACTTCTACAAGATCCAAGGGTCAAAGTCTGGTTCAGTATAGGGCCTCTAGGACCTTAGCTCCAGAGCTGTGGCCACACTCATTCTGATTATACAATAGGTTTAAATTTTGATTACCACTACCACTCCAAGTTCTCAAAGCCTAGCACCACCTCTCATTAGCTTTGTAAACATGGGGAGTTTCTTATCTGTAAAATAGGAAGAATAGTACTATCTTGTGGGCTTGTTAGGATTAAATGAGCTAATATACAAAGTGCTTAAGTCACTGTCTAAGCACTCAATAAAAGTTAGTCATTATTATTATTTATTCTTTCTCATCATCATCACTTCCATCATCAAATGCTTTCTCTGTTTTAAGACATGTCAGTATGACTTATCCAAGTTCACACAACTATGTTTATGTGGTCTTTCTCAGCACTAAGTAGTGGCTCTAGGATTTCTAGGCAGGAGGGGCTTAGAAGGATTTGGGCAGCATACTCTTCCTACTTAGGTTGAGTGTTACACACATCAGTAAGAATTCAAAGTTCTCTAAAGTTGCTTTTATCTACAGATTTTCATAAAACTGAGAAAGCATCAAATATGAGTTTTATTTATAAGAGTAGGATGCTTTGGGGGCCTTTCTCTTCAGAGGAGAACACTATAGTCATGCCTCAGAGTGCCCCATTACACACAGACAGCTGCTTTCACTGCTCTATTCTCTGGGTCAGTGCTTTCCAAAATCTGTTCCAACGAGTTCCTTAAGGAGCCAGCCTTGTTGAGGGGATTGAAAAGGCAAGAGAGGAATAGGATCAGGACCCAAATACAAAAATTAGCTGGGCCTGATGGTGCATGCCTATATTCCCAGCTATTTGGGAGACTGAGGCAGGAGGACCAATTGATCCCAGGAGGCTGAGATTGCAGTGAGCCTAGGTCACACCACTGTACTCCAGCCTGAGTAACAGAGCAAGACCCTGTCTCTCATTTTAAAAAAAGAAGTGGCCATAAAGAAGGACAAAAGTATGAACTTTGCAGCAACTTGGATGAACTTAGAGTCTATAAATACTGAGTAGTCTATCATGGAAACAAGGAACTGAGTACCACATGTTCTCACTCATAAGCAGACTTTGAATGATTATCATAATACTATAAGAAAGAGATTGGGTATTGCATTGAATTTGTAGATTGCCTTAGGTAAGATGGACATCTTCACAATGTTGATTCTTCTGATCCATGAGCATA